TGGTTCCGGGGTCGCCTTGTACAGCTGGTGAGGCATAGGTAGTAGCGACTGTTGTAATCGTAGGCACTGTCTGGGTCGTCGTGACGTTATAGGATGGGGGCAGCTCAACTAGTATGGTCCCTGGGTCTCCTTGCGTGGCTGGAGGATTATAAATCGTAGTAACCCTTGAGATAGTAGGGACAGTCTGGGTTACAGTCACATTGCGGTCGACTGGAACTTGTACCAGGACTGTGTTGGCATCACCTAGATTTGCTGCAGGATAATAAGATGTTTGGGCCCGACTGATTGTGCTGATAGTCTGTGTTGTTGTGATATTGTGAGATGGTGGGACCTCCACCAAGATTGTGCCGGGATCACCCGGATTGGATGGCGGAGAATAAATAGTAAATGCCATAGTGATTGTCGAAATGATTTGCGTGGTTGTTATGTTGTATGGGGGCGGGACCTGCACGAGGAGAGTGTTGGGATCGCCTTGAACAGCAGCCGGATAGTATGATGTCTGAGCCTGCGTGATCGTGCTGATGGTCTTGGTACTGGTGACAGTGTAGTCGACAGGCACTTGGATAAGAACAGTGTTCGGATCTCCTTCAACAGCAGCTGGGTAATAGGATGTCTGAACCCGGCTGATAGTGCTAACAGTCTGGGTGCTAGTGGTGTTATACGAAGGAGGCACCTGTACCAAAACCGTGTTGGGATCGCCTTGAACAGCGGCTGGATAGTATGATGTTTGAGCCCGAGTGATCGTGCTTATAGTAGCAGTACTGGTAACAGTGTAGTCAATAGGCACTTGGATCAGAATAGTGTTGGGGTCCCCTTGAACACCAGCTGGATAATAGGATGTCTGAACCCGGCTGATTGTGCTGATGGTTTGAGTCGTAGTGATGTTAGACTCGACTGGGATCTGGATGATGACCGTACCCGGATCCCCTTGCGTCGCACCAGGGCTGTATGTTGTTCTAACCCGCGTGATTGAGCTGACCGTTGCTGTAGTCGTTACATTATAATCCACCGGAACCTCCACAAGGACTGTGTTAGGATCCCCTTGCGTGCCTGCAGGATAGTATGTAGTCTGAACCCGGCTAATTGTGCTGACGGTCTGGGTTGTAGTTACGTTGTAATCAGAAGGGACTTGGATAACAATGGTTCCCGGATCGCCCTGCGTTGCAGCCGGTTTATAAGTGGTTCTGACTCTAGTGATAGAGTCGATGGTTGTAGTCGTGGTTACGTTGTAATCTAGCGGCAGATCGATATAAACAGTGCCTGGATCTCCTGCAGCAGCTGGGGTAGCAAACCGTGTAGCCGGGCGGCTGATAGTTGGCACAGTCGAGGATATCGTTACATTAGAGTCCGGCGGAAGTTCAACAATGACGGTACCAGGATCGCCCTGCGTACCTGGCGAAGCAAAGCTAGTTATTAGTTTCGTGATGGTACTGATAGTCTTGGTGACTGTGATATTATACTCTGGTGGTAGGTCCACATAGACAGTTCCAGGGTCCCCGATCCCGAGGGTGCCAGGAGGGGAATACCGAGTTGTAGGCCTTGTGATTGTCGAGAC